CATTCTTCACTCACTAGGTCGGACACACCCATCACGAATTTGTTCATTCTAGATCGTGAGTCGGCAACCAAGTGTGGAGCATATCTTGAAAGTTGGTTAAACTTGAGGGCATACTCCCTCACACTCATAGACCCTTGTTTTAAATTCATGAACTCCACCAATTTGGCTTCCCTAAGTTCAAGAGGAAAGAATCGATTAAGGAAAGCCGTTTTGAACTCTTCCCAAGGCACCACATAGTTTGCCCCCTTCTCTTTCCTTCCATTAGTTGGACCATATTTGGGCCACCCCTTTTAGTTGGTAGGACGCCAACTCCGCCTTATCTTCTGACCTCATGCCCATGATAGCTAATATCTTGTGCACTTCATCAATAACTCTTGAGGGTCTTCATCTAACTTAGACCCATAGAATTCCGGGGGATTCATCCGCACGAAGTCTCTCACCCGAGATGCCGGGGTAGGAGCCTGAGGGCTTGGGCCCCGTGGTTGGCTTGATTAGCCATAGCTTGAGCAAATAAAGTAAGGGCATCCCGAAGATCCCCATTGGTCGGTTGCTCCTCGGGTGCGCGGGTTCGTCTTCCTCTTGTATTAGGCATGATCTAGCATAACAAAGAACAACCATTAGGGAAGAACTTAATTCAACTCTATAGCACGACTTAGAACAAGGAGAAGAGAAACATTTCCTAAAATGTCTCATAGCCTCCTACTCATAGTTGTGGTGCACAATACAACCATGAATCAAACTCTAATCAACGCGGTGTGTTGGACTCCGAGGATCTATCAACCTAGTGCTCTGATACCAAGTTTATCACGACCCAAGCCTAGGGCCTAGACGTGACCGGCGAATGGGGAACCCGAAGGAACCCCAAACAAGCCTCATAGCGTATCATTACACATCCTTGGTCGCGGAAGCAATTAAAATGACCATAAGCGATAGGTATAATCAAGGGGGAAATCGGGACTAAGGAGCAAGAAAAAGAAGAAGAAATGATACATAAATACCATAGATGAGTCAAGTTCAAGCATAATACACAACTTGTCCAACACCACCTCTAAACATGAGTACTTAGCGGGGGCCAAGACAAACTACCGGGCTCACCCTCATAGTCAATACATAACAAAAAAAAGAAAAAGTCTTATACATAGCAAAAGATCATAAGCAACGTCCCCGGAATGGAGGACTCACCAATAACCTCGATAGAAAATCGTATTAGCCACGTGGAGGAGGATGGTCAAGCGGTGCTCCGTCCCTACATGGTGACATCATGTAGGCATAGAGTATGCATTACTACGTTTGAATGTACTAAGTATATGAGATGCAATGCAATGCTACAATAGATGGACATCATAGGAAAAATGCATGATCATACCCGATAGATAGCACATTAATGAAATGATATATATAATGACGCTTACATAAAAATTATATTTAGTGGGACGTAGTACATGTGTGGCGAGTGACCATCAATATAGTATTTCCAAGGCCTACCACCCCCTTGGAAAGGCGAAAGAGGTACAAACCCCTCAATGTGGTTACCCGAGCC